GTATTAGATAAATTTCAGTAAGTGTGTTCAATACTTTTTCCCTGTGCCATTCCACATTATTACAAATAACTTTTATGGTTGATTTCTTTGTATGTATGGATCACTTGGGTTGTTACCAACATCTGGTGAAAATTTCATGTCATTAGCACCTCTAGTAATATATTTACTGAGAAAAATGGTGACGTGTTCAATACTTATTTTACCAGCTGTATCTCCAACATCATCAGTGGAACATTTATCTTTTTTTTAATCGTTTCCAATGTCTTCACTTTTAACATTTAAGTAGAAATATAGATAGTAGGGTTTAAAAAGTTATTTTTGGAACTGATGTTTTTATGCACCTATATGGTCCACGTTTTCAGAAAACACGTTTACAGGAAAAAAGTTGGACCAGTTTTTGACACATTTTCTACTGTAACAAATGAAGTTAGGAACACAGGAAACATAACCAAACCAGCTAAATTTTAAAAGCAATGTATCAGCAGGTTTGTATTGATTAGCTCTTCTATTTAAATAGCATAGTTTTGAACACAATGATGTCATCAGGGGATCAAAAGGTCACAACCCCAACAGAAGATAAAATTTTCAATCTTTTATCTGAGTTATCAGTTTTGCATTATCATGCACCTTTGGGTCCACATGTTCAGAAAACATGTTAAAATAAAATAAAACTTGGTAGGTACTCCACAGGGACTGGTTTTTCTCCACAGCCCTTCTTACTGTGTTCAGAATTACAGATGTGAAACTTAAGCTAAGTCATTTACATGAAATCACCGCAGAAATTTACATGCAGATTTAAAATAAAGGTGTCAAATGGTAGGTACGGTACATGTGCTTTTGTTGATTATTTATGCAACAGATCATGTTACCAGTCAGGGGTTAAAAGTAACCCCTAATGGTGAACATTCAGAAACAAGTGTTTGTTGAAACTGAAAGGCTTTCACAGAATTATTCTGTGAATAACTTGAGCTTTTATTGTTTCTTAGAATGGGCTGATTTTAAATTTGAGCTTCACAGCTTTATGTCTAACAGGATGTAAGCTGTCACTCTCACATCAGTTCTTCAGATTAAAGTACGCCTCACTGTTCTGAAGGATCTTATTTCTCCGGCTGGGTACTCCAGTTTCCTCCCACAGGTCAAAAACAGGCACTTTAACTTGCCTCCAAATCCAGGTCTCTCTTTCAAAAGAGACGTGATCTCAAAGGGATTTGCCTGGTAAAATAAAGATTAATAAAAAAAAACATTTTTGTTGACAAATGTAGTAAATATGAAACTTCTTATGATCTCAAAATCTCTAATTTTCTGACTCATTTTCTGTCTCATAAAACATCCAGGTGACAGCTTCATTTTCTTTATTAGAGCTGTTAAAAACTCACTCAAACCTCAACAAATTACCAGATCAGACGTTTGTCCACCAGGGGGCGCGCTTTAACTGCATTTCATCCACCTGTCCTGCATTACAAAAGGAGCATGAAGTCCGAGGGAACCTCTAAATCAGAGGAGCCCAAAGTGGGGCCCGCGGGCCAAATTTGGCCCGC